ACGAATCTAATGGTGATATCTTTGTTCGAATGGGATCACTGGATGTTGAGATATCGGGTTCCAAAGTTACAGATTCATTTTTGAAATTTCCGGTAATATACTGTAGGGTTGTGTAGCAAAAGAAGACATCATTATTGCCATCAAATTTTAATGGCACTTTAATTATACTGATTCTTAGTAAAGTTTGAATTATTGTGATTCTGAGTAAAAGACTTTATAAATCAGTATATAAGTCGCAACTTCGAAAACAATTATTGCTCTAATAATAAATTGGTTTGTAGTTAAGATTTCTCTCTCGATCACTATCTGGTATGTTACATAATATAGTGTAAGCTCTATATAAAAATTCATATACAGTACAGAGCGTCAATAAAAATATACCTATCGATAATAGCTTGTGAATATTGTTTATATTAAGAACAAAATAGGCAAAAAATTTTGTTGTTAAGAAATACTATTTATTTTAATCTTAATGCGTACAAATAATATTAACAAGCTACGTATGTAGTAGCATTTAAAGTAGTTTTTTATTGGCATTCTTTGGGTTTCCTGCACTGTATGAGGTTTTTAAAAATCAAACTTTCGAACCAGTATATTGGTGTGGCCTCATCAAAATTTCCTCAGAATAAATCTCTATCGTTATTTGTTTGTAAACCCAGACAAACTAATTCAACGTTAACGATAACGATAATGAGCCACATACTAAATACATGTACATGTATTTGGAACTCTCGGCTTATCGAGATTTACTACGTACGTAGTAGATTGAAAAAAGTAAACTTAATACATGTACATGTATATGTGCATATACATTGATCTAACTAAACCTGTCGATTACATAACAATTACATGTACATGTAAATCAAACAATCGGTGCTCGCAGAAATTGACTTGCACAATTACGGTAAATACAGTATGTAGAAGTTTTATGACGATAATTTTGATACATGTATAATACATTATTTTAATTATTTGTTTCAAAATTTTAAATACATCTAAATAATCACCAATCCTCATGGATGTAGTAAATGACGAATGTTTAAATATCACTGTCGAATTTAGAAAGCTGAATGACGAAAATAACGACATCGACAGTCTAGTCTAACGCTAATAAAGCTTTTGAGTGAAATACATGTAGAAGATAGAATTCGGTCAATTTGACGGGGGGATATTCATTTTTATCGGTGTGTGTCACGATCACTATAAAACTGTAAACAAATATCACTGTTGTACAATACCGATACATGGCTTATCTTTATAAATACAAGGCGAATCGCTCAAAAAATGGCAAGACGCGAAAAATAAAAAAATACACACATTCTTCCGATTGAAATTTTTTAATTGCGTTTAAGGATTTCGTTTCCATAATAAAACTTATGCACCTATCTTTATTTTCAACTTGTTGATAATGGTAATTGTTTCTTTTTCATATGCTATTTTTTTTACCTTTCCCATTTTTGACACGATACTTATTTCACGCATATATGCACTACTTGATACGTAATAAATTTAGTTTACAAAAAAATCTAGACTACCTGTCACATTCCCTGATAATTCAGCAACAGCAACGTCGACGCTAACACTTCCATCACCACCTTCAAATCCATCAAACAATCTTATTTCCCTCCATTCGAAAATTATTTACATTCATCCTATCGATTCAATTTCTAATGAGGAAATTATCCGGTTTCGTTTCGTTTCAAGTGACACCAAAGAGAACATAAAAGAAGAAATTTCGAAGGCATTTAATCTCGAAAGGTTTTCACTTCGGGACGACAAGAGGAATATCGTGACTGGCAGTTGGGATTCATTGGAAAATAATCGTCATTATGAAATTATCGATCGAGGTGAATTAACCAAAATTAGTAGAAAAGGGAAGAAACATCTGGATTTTAATTCTAAGTATATAATTAACGAACCTGAATATGCTGAAGAATTCTTATCGGAAAGTCATGGAGAAAGTGAAGAAAGAGATTTCGATGGTCGAATTACTAATAACAAAAGAGTAGGTTGATATTTTTGATATTGCTATTATTATTATTGTTATGACAATTAAAAAATTATAAAATAATTTAATATAGAGTACTACGAGGGAAGATGGACGAAAAAAGCGTAAAAAGCAATCACATTTAATTCGAAGTATTTCGGCGCCATTTTTTCAGGCAGTAAAACAAAATGCTCAAGATCTACCACAGCAACAAAAACTATCGCCACAGCAACAACAGCAGCAGCAACAGTCATCACGACAACAGCATCAACAATTGCTATTTCAATCTCACCAAGAAACTTCAGAATCACGAAAAATGTCGATAAAACGTGCTTCGTTTACACCGGAAAATGAAATTTCAGCAAATTACGATGCTTTTGAAAATGACGATAGCAGAAATACTAATAATGATACTAGTGGAGATAGCATTGGTGGTCAGGTTTCGAAAAGACCCGTCTCCCATTTGGGTTCAAGTAAATCTGGAAAAACACAAGTCAAAGCATGCTCAAGATGTAGAAAAGGGAAGAAAGGATGTGATCGTAATAGACCGTGTGCTCGTTGTGTAAGGGCTGATATGGAAGCTTCCTGCGATGCTGGCGAGCCAATTATTCCCGAATAAATGAGTGAATGATAGATTTATATTTTTAATTGGAACCCATGGTATCGTTATTACTAATCCCCTTAACAAAATAATTCATTGTTCCTCCGGTTTTAGTCACTAATTTTGCTTGTTTGTAAATAAATACATGTAATTCGTTCTTCCATTCATCCTTTTTTCATTACTTCGCTTCTTAATTTCGCTGACGAATAAAATATCATTTTGCATATTTGGAATAATAGAGTGATAGTTAAAAATTAACATTCAATTCAATCAGACTAATTATGTTTAATTACTTTTAGGATTCACCTGTTATAAGACTTATTAATCTGTTTACAAAAATACACCTCTAAATTATTGCCATTATACATGTAATATGCTCAATAAAAGTTTTTTCTTTTGTATTGATATCTTGAAAACAATACAGAATGTTAACGTGATTTTTTATTGGATCGTGGTATCGACTGATACCATAATGATAACGATAGATTGGTTCCATATTTTACCAACACCTCTGATGGATTTTTCTACCCTCCCTAAAAATAACACCCTATATTATAATATTACGTATCGGTACCGATAACTCTATCTTCGATACATGTAATTTACATTTTTCACATGGAAAATTAATTGTATTACATGACATGCCCTATTTTTAAGGTTCAAAAAAATAGGGTAGAAAATCCATCCAGGGCAATAGATGTATCGACATTGACCGATATGTTTGACAAACAAATTGTGTGTAACCAAATTTAATGTTAATGGTACACTAATATTTCGACATTTATTTTTGTGCACGCGAATTAATGTTCTTGGCGTGCGTGATATCGATATTGTGAAAATAGTTTATGCACAATTATGTGTGATGATGTATAACGATAACGATAATTGTTGATTGTGCTAATTCCGAGTACATGTATTAGACGCATGTTAAGCAATCAAATATTCGGCTAGTCGCCGAGTTAATGCTGAAACGCTATCTTAAAAATTTGATTTTACAAGTTTAGTCATTCGATCATGTTAATTTCGGAAGTTTTTCTGAGTTACACAAATAATACGCAGAATCCGAAGTCTTGCCGAATCGTGGACGATTTTGAAATTTTACGTTACGAAAATTTACGTTTTTTTTACCGTATTTTTATTGAGCGGGGGGGGGGGGGTATTACCTTCTTATCAAGAGAGATAATCTATTTATACCTGCATCTTGAGATACATTTATAAATGATATTCGATAAAAATTAATTACTGTATTTTATTTTGAAAACATTATCAGATATATGCCACAGAAAATCATTTACCGTTACTGTATACTGTACATGTATCGGTATAAAACATGTACGTATGGTGCATACCATGTAAGTCATCAAACATTTCTATTTATAAATACAAACTTTAATCCGTAAATATGCTTATTTACGGTATTTACTTCTTAGTAAAGAAGTTACCCATTTTATAAAATACAAACGTTTGATGACTTAAGATGGTATACTATAATTGTGAAGATCACTATTTGTAGCAGCGGTTTTAGTTATTCCATAATACCGATACATGTACGTACTTACGCTTAGCTGTAAATCTCCAGCGTCAAAGCATCTAATTTTAGTAGAGCAGAAAAATTACAGATCACATGATTCCAATCTCGATGCCGGCCATCCGATATGCTCCTTAAAAATTATGCACAAATAAAATCGCAAGTCAATGTTCTTGCGAAAGAAATTTTGCTATAAATATGCTATACATAATCCTATTCTGATTCCAACCCTAACCGTAACTGAATCTTTAATTATTGTGGCAGATCGTGGTGATTTTTACAATATCTATTACTATTGTAAAATAATATAAATAAAAATTTTACTAGAATTAGGGCTAGTGGAAGGTTATAGTATAACGGTTATTGGTTATATATCATAAACTTTACAAAAATGTCAATAACTTCATGAATTTTTTGGCCAAAAATATGAAATTTTGGCAATTAACCGAATCTTTAATTAGCACATGCATGATTTTAAAGGATATATCGGATAGTCAGCATCGAGATTGAAATCGTGTGATCTATAATTTTTTCTGCCAGGACTAGTCTACTATTAATTTTGAAAAATAACTTGTCTCCACTTAACATTATTCATTTATAATCTTAATTTATGATTCATGAGTGAAGTAAAGAGTTGACTATATATATATAAATTCATGTAAATCTAGAAGCATATTTTATATGATAATCCATAATCTGGAGTCAAAATTTCCCTAATAAATTCAGCTGACTTTTTATTTTTTTTTAGCTTTCATTTATAAGTATGAATATTTATATTTATTTAATAGTCAAAAACTATAAGATTTAGTTGATACAATTTAATTTGAATATTCATATTTATTTATTATTCAAAATTAGCTTCAGATTATAGATTATTATATAATTTGTCGTAAATTATATTCTAATTTCAGCCTGATTTTATATTCTTCAGATTGTTTAAATTTTGTTATGCAATTATATTTTATATCTTTTTTTGCAAGATATTTGATATTATTAAGTTTTCAAAATAAATTCATTAAAAAATAATTTAATTATTGTATACTCTTTTATTAATATTTTTATTTTTGTTAAATCATTTAGTTTTATAAAAAAAGTCTTTACTGTTGTATCTGTTATATAAATTTTGCAATTTATTTTTATTTTTTAACAAAATAATTATTATTTTATATTATATAAAAAATAGTTTTATTATATATTTTAATAATAAAAATCTTATTTTAATAGTTAAATATATTTTAATTTTCAAATTATTCAAAAATATTTTATAATAAGTAAAAATCTAATTTTAAATAATATTTTTTTTAATATTTATAAGACTTAAAATATTTTTGCAAATAATTTTGTAGATAATTCAAAAAGAATAATATTGAATATTAATAAAATAAAAATAAACAATATATAATATTAAATTTATATAATCTCTATAAAAATAATTAGATAAAAATTCAGTTTTTTTTTAGTTTTGGTAAATTATAAATAATTGAATTAGAAAAAATAGAAAAAATAAAAAATTTATTTGATATCTTAAAATATAATATTATATAATTTACTAATTAATCTAAACAAAAAATATATTATTTAATTTATCAAGACTTGACAAATTAAATAGTAATATTATTTGTGAATTATAAAATATTATATTTCAAGTTACTGAACAAATTTTTTTATTTTTCCTATTTAACCAAATTGAATAAAAATAAAATTACATATTTACTGAGAAATAGTAACTGAATTTTGATGAAATTTAGCTTAGCGAATCATGATAAATCATTTTCAAATTGAATATTCCAAATTAAAATAAATTTATTTTTTAAAAAATTATCAACTTTAAAGTATAATATTTTATAAATTACCATAAAAATTACTATTATTCAATTCATTAAATATAAGTAAATTTAATGATAATTACTTTAAAAATAATATATTTATTTTAATTTTGAATAAAACTTTGAAAAGTTAATCCTGCAACTTGGAACATGATATCTTGTGATTCACAAATTCAATTCAGATGAAAATACTATTATTTGATTTATCAAGACTAGACAAATTGGATGATGTATTTTTTTGTCTGGATTGAGATTGTGGATCATGAGATATCATGTCTCAATTTCATCTGCAACTGTTTTCAAAATTTTAATAAAAAAGATAAAGATGAAGAAAAGGAATTAGAAAGGAAGAAATTACAAAAATGGTTTGGTATTTCATAAGATATTATGATTCAAAGTTGCTAATTCTTTGAACAAAACTTATTTTAATTTTGAATACTTAATTTGAAGCATGATATTTCATAAACAAACAATAATATCACCATTCGATTCATCAAGTCTTGACAAAACGTATGGTGTATTTTTTGTTCAGATTAGATCAGTGAATCGTGATTTATTTTCCACGTTTTTTCCGTTTTCAATTACCTGTGATTTTCAAAACTAAAAAACCAGATTATTGCCTGATGATTTTTTTTACAGGGAGTATGAACCTCTTAAAACACTTTGGCTCTTATCCCGAGACATTACTTGGAAAATGTTTCACACAAGTAATTATACATCGTTAAAACCTATGAACAGCAATGAATATTTTATCGTACTGGGCCGGAAAATACTTCTGGTGTGTGACAGAAATGACAAATTTTCCTGTTTATCGTGCAGCAACGAAAAATGACCTCAACTATTTTCGAATTCATTAAACTTACGATAAATTTTCAACGTTCTAGTTGATTATCTTTCATATCCAAAATGATTGTAGGAATTGCTTACGAATTCGGTAGCTCTATAAAAATAATCTAACAGAGATTAATGATAAATTTACAAAATTTCTGGTCAAACAAATATTTCATGTCTTTTAATCCCTTTACCTATTCTCTTGCAACTTTCAATCATTTGTATAGTAAATCCAATTTGAATTTAATAGGTGGTAAAATTCTCGCTAAACTTCGTCTTCTCTAGCTAATTGTTATTGCGTTAAATCCTATCAGTGTAAATATCAGCATGTATACTCTTTCTAATAGCTACCACAAATTGAATGCTATAATCTTTCTGACTACTTCATAACACACTTATCAAATTTAATAAATGTTCGATTCTTTATCGATATTGTAAAAAATGGCATTCGAAACAATCACCTATTTTCATTTTTTTTATTCAGAATCTCCACTCGCGTTCGATTATCCGATATGATCAGCATTTGTAATGTTCTTGATGCTCGGAAAATTTCATAACATTACACATGATCTATGGAAAGTTATGGGGCCGTTACTTCTGACGAGCACTGTATGTTATGTCTCAGATTACGATTTGATTAAAATCACGCTTCATGAGCTCATTTTCGGCCAAACTTAACCTATCTCGCAGCATTAACCCAAACTCTGACTCCAAATATAGTCTTAATTTGGACTGAGCGTGATCTGAGACACAAAAATATATCCGGTTAAATTTTAAACCGGTTTTCAATTTGCGAACCAGTTAATAACTTTAAACTGATTCATAATTGATTTTCGCGCCCTCTGAAATGCCAAAACACTCAACCATCTGGTTTTATAAAATACGCGATAGCAGATAACTGGTTGGAATCTTACTCGTCGAGTGAACTTTATACCCGGAAATCGGATCTATCCGGTTGAATACGTATGAATTTTGACTTGACGGGTCACGCTAGGGATGATCAATACAGTCCCTGGCGAAAGTAATGGCGGCCATTATATTTCATTTAATTGTATAACAAAATTAAAAAAAAACATTATGTTGAAAGTGCCTCTGAGTAGGACATTATGTCCCTAAAATATCAGTACTTGGTGTGCTCTCTTTCCGTGTCAATGCAAGTTCGAACATAATTTAATGTTCTAAAAATTTTGTAACTTGAACATTTTTAACTAAAATTCGTAATAATTCGATAAATATTATTGTGAGCAAAATGATATTATTACTACCAAAATGTTCGTATTATTGAGGTGAATATAATAAGACCAAAATTACCACTGATTATCGTTATCGAAAAATTAAGTTTGAAGATTTTAAAAACTCCAATCGGGAAAATGACTTGCCGTGATGTGCTAACAAAATTTATCATATTTTTATTTTTTATTTGTTATTGACTTGTTAGAAATTTAGCACTATCTTTTATATATTTTTATTCAATAAAAATGTAGTATTGTAGTAAAATTTGTATAACAATCTCGCCACCATTACTTTCGCCGGTGACTGTAAACCATGAACTGCGGCTTGAACCGAATCGACTCGGTTCAGGTTCAGTTTAATGTGATTGAACCGAGTCAGTTCAAACCCGTGGTTCATGTGTGATCCTCTGCTTGACAATATGATTGTAGAAACACTAATTAAACTTGGATAAATTGAAGTTTGGCTCTGAGAACAGTTATAGCAAATAAACCTCGATAAACCGAATTTTACAGAATTTTTCACTAGCTGCCCGAACACTTCTTTATATCAAGGATTGACTGTAGTTTAAACTGGTTAACGGATCAGGTCTCATAAGTTTGTGTTACAATTTGGACCAGAAAAGACCAGAAATTTAGACCACTTAAAAATTTAGCGACTAGCGCTAGTTCAGATTCAGATTAACTCAAATTTTCAACGGAAATCGCATATCAAAATTCGGCTTCGATTTTTCAATCCGACGATTTTGTAAAGCTTACGAATAGCAATCATCTCTTTGCTCAAATGATTAGAATTTATGAAAAGGTAGTACTGAAAATGCAAAGTGCTCTTTTATTATATCCGTCGAAAAATTTGATAGTGTTAATATTAATGCAGGTTGTTGTGTGTAAGTAGTATTCCTGTGTCATTTTTTATCAGTTTGAGATTGTAATTCAGTTTAGTTTTTGAACTAAATCAGACTGAATGAGTTAATAAATCTACTTTAAATACCTTCTTGTTAGATTATACAGAAAGCCTTAAACAATGCATTTTTAAATTATTTAATAGAAATTGCTTTTTCTTAATAAATACTATTTTAATTAATTAAAAAGCTTTACCTTTATTAGTTTCTTTGTTATAAAAATTTGATTTTGCATTTTTTTTTGTATTTTGCTTTTTTTATAAGTTACTGTATATCAAAAAATTGAACTTGAATCAAGCTCGAACTTTTAAATTGGACACGGTCTTAAACTAATTTTCTTTATATTGCAAAAGTAAAGCTCTGTTCGGGTCGGGTCGGGTTTGACCTGAAATTCGTAAATGATTTTTCGTTAATAACCTTTTTTTTTTACTAAGACACTTGTTGTGTTTTGTGTCTTAAGTAGAGTTGTCCGGGATGTAATTATGTATATCCACAAATTTTCGCTTAATTTTAATTAATATTGAACGAAAAATAACGATTTTTAGGCTGATCCGAAATATTTCTGGTCGGGTTTGAACCCGACCCGACCCGATTGGAGCAATATACAAAAGTATTTAAAGATATTATTTTTTATTTCAATTTTAGAAATAAGTAATCTTATGCCAAAAACAAGCTTGATAATTTTATATAATTAACAATTTGTTAGTAATAACAAATAATTTATATTATATTATTTGCAATATAACTTTAATAATAAGTTGAATATTTTTTTGAAATTTAAAAATAAAATATTAAAATACTATTAAATATTCTTTAAATATAAAATTATTTAAATGATATTACATAGAATTTTTTTCAAAAAATTTTATTTTATCTTAATTTTAATTAGTAAATTTTGATACGGATAATAGAATATATATTATTTATTTTGAAGATATTAAGTAAAAAAATTTTCTGTATTAGTAATCCAGCTGAGTGATGATTTGTTTCTAATAATTTATCATTATCCTCAAAATTAATAGTACGTAAATTTTCATGTGGATCACAAATCAACCTATTTTTTCATATTTTATAGTTTTTTTATAAGTAAAATTATTCTTAGATCCCGTTGTTATCACCCTGATAATATCAACATCCAATTATTAGCAACATTTGTTACAGAACAGATTTCAAATAATAATAACTTCTCGTGATATTGATTCTAAATCCTGTAGTTATACAATTATACTGTATACTTTTTCATTGAATTATAAATAAAAATTATAGCAACAAAATGACTTCATTATCATCTGTAACAACAATAGATTCAAGAGAATTGTGAAAAAATTAAACAATAATAAGTCAAAGAACAAGAGTAGTGATTCATCAGAAAAAGCTACTAGCAGATTGTCAAAAAAATCATATAATAAGAGATACTATACTATCAAAGAAAAACATTATTAATAGAATCTAATAATAATATAAATTATATAATCTAATAATAATATAAATTATGTAATCTAATAATATTTATAATATAATAACTAGTATTTATTGTACTTTCTGAATATATATACTAGTAATATTATGAATATATATTTATTTAGAAGAAATAAAATTTTGAATAATTACTTCTAAATGAGATTTCAGATACTCTATATTTTACAAAATGAATTTAATAAATTGTTAAATGTTCTCTTAATATTAACAGTTTGCAATTTCTATATTAATATTTTTATAAAAATCTGACTTTAATTGGCACTCTGAATATAGTAATATATAATATTATAATATTATAATATATAAATAGTTAATATTATCTATATATTTGTTTAAATTTAAATTAAATTTTGAGTACACCAAGTTTTTTATTGAATAAAAAAAGGATATCCAGAATAAAAAGTAAATTTATCCTCTCAGAGTGTTGTTAAATATCTTAAAAAGATACCAAGAGTTAGCCAAAAATTTATTTATAATTCAAAAATTGAAAATTATTTAATTTCACATTTATTGGCACTTCGAGTACTCCAAAAAGTTAAAAAAAATACCATTTTTACTGGTATTATTAAAAATAAATAATAAAATATCTTGAAAAATCAAATTCTTTAAAATATAAAATTTGAATGAATTTAAATAATTCTAAAACTGAAGCAATTTCAGGTAAATTATTAATTTTAAAGATAATTATATTCTAATAAATTTATTAATAATAATATTTTAAGAAAAATTATTTATTATAATTAAAACAATTTGATTTATCTAAAATTATTAATTTCAAAATTATTAGAACTATTTTGAGACTGGTTAAAATTTCTAATAATTTTGAATAAAATCTAAAATAGATATTTGAAAAACACCAAATAATTCACTCAAATAAATAACTGAAGTGCAAAGATTTTATAATAAATATTTTAACAAATTATTATTATTCAAGGTAAGATTAATGGATTAGATATTAATATTATATCTAATACTTTCAATACTATTGCATTAATAATCTCAATTTTACAATTAAACATGATGAATTTTGTAATTTGGTGAAGAAAATTCAGCTTTTATATTGCTATTAACAACAACAATTATTGAGTTCACTCTTATATTGAATTATTATATTCAAATAAAAATAAAACAACATTGTGAAATTGCTTATAAGATCATTAAAAGAAAACTCTTAGCAAATACTAAAAATAATTTGTATACAATTTTTTCTTGGAATAAAGATATTTATTCAATCAAGAAATTACTAGATAATATGTCTCATTTTTTTGAAGAATTACATAAAAATCCAAGTGATAAATTAAGTATGTATGTCTTATATTTTTTATATACTCAAGTTTAATATTTAATTAGTAATTTATTTGTAGAACAACAAGAACATTGGGCTCCAGATCTTATTTCTGTATGTGAAAAATATTTTGAAATACCTAAATGTGAGTTCAAAAAAACTCCAAAACAAATAAGAAGGAACAAGAACACTCATGTTGAAATAAGTCAAAAACTATAAATATATTAAATTTATATTACTAAAGAATGTTTGCATGTAATGGTTAATATATTATATATTCAATAGAAAGCAAAAGCTCAATTGGAAATTCTAGATAGTATTTCCAATTCTGATCTTAGGCATTCAATTAATGAAATTTGCCAATGCTTTGAAACTGATCTTAATTCTTCTGAAGTTTCTGATGTTAAATTAAATGAAGAAAAATGTGAATTTACTGTAATTCAGATTCCGTAACGAAGTAATGAGATATGATATTTGTTTTATTTATTAATTTTTAATAATAGCTAATTAACTTTGTTTTATATTCGGGATCACATTAATGAGCAATTAGAGATATGTACAACGCATTGATAATCAACAGGCAACAGGTCATCAAATTACATCCCTCGTAATGAAATGAAGTATAATGATGTTCATTTCAATGAATATCATCACCATTTACCTCCAGTGCCTATGTATTTAACACAATGGACTTTAAATAATATTGATCCCTTGCTTTGAATTATCAAAAGAGTGATAATGACAACAGACAGCAATAAAATGATAGCAAAAAAAAAGTTTCATATAATATAATCAATGATTTATTTTACTATATAAATAAAAAAACGCGTAAAATATTATGTGTAACATTCTGATATGAATCACTGAAAACTCGCTAAAAACCTGCTAAAAACCCACTAAAAAATTTTCTTAAAACTTGCTGAAAACTTGGTAAAAACACTATCTTACATGACTATCGAAAAAAGATATGAGTGTGTGGAGGTTTTTCTGTTGTAAAACTTTGCAAAAACTTTTGAATCATTATCAGTAAATATTCAGAAAATTTGACTTCCTACGGAAAGCTTCCTGTTGGATTTTAATAGAGAACCAACCCATTTCTACCTGTGTGGTACATTCACTACAATCATGAGTTTTAGATGCTATCTTTGAGTTTATTAGTGTTTTATTTAAAAACCGATGATTTATATGTTGTCGTTCACTTGTGTTTGTAAAACGATTTATTCATGAAAAATAATAAGTGAAGAAGGGTAAAAACGTGATTCATCATGAATTTACACATGTACAGACGCCATCAATTAATGTGGGAGATCGTGATTAAAAACGGATTATGGTGAAAATTTTGGCCAAAATTGTTCATATCATGAGATCATTTGGCCAGAATTATATAATTTCTTATAATAAAAGAGCAATATTTTAAAAATAATGATAAATGCATAAAATATATAACTTAAATTAATTTTACAATAATATTTATATTGCTATATACTATGTAAATTTATGAGTATAATTGTTATTCATAGTTTATTATAATAGATATT